GTGGTGGCTCACGCCTGTAATCCAAGCACTTTGGAGGCCAAGGCGGGCGGATCACCTGAGGTCGGGAGTTCAAGACCAGCCTGACCAACATGGTGAAACCCCTTCTTTATATATTTAAAAAAAAAAAGGATGTGAGAGAAATGAGTTAGAGCTGGAAAAGCCAATGCTTTCTGCACAAGCTTGAGAAGCCCTTGGCTGGTGTAAATGATGACTTTCCACTTTTTTTCCCCATCAGATCGACAATGCTGACGTTTTAAAACGTTTGGCCAGTTATTTCTGACACACCGGCCTCAAAAGGCCCGGCCTTGTTCGTTTCCGATCTTGGGAAGATGGCGGTTGACTCCCTTTATTTGTTTGTTCACAGGTTAGAGCAGCCAGAGGGGACAATGGATTTTGGAGGAGGGAGTCACCACTGGGCCTCCAAGGAAACTACGTGCAGATATCTACAATCTTCAATCTCCTGAGTAAGCCTTAGTCTCCTATGGGCCTATTGTAGAAAACACGTGCTTTGAGAACCTTTAGTTTCCTAGATAAAACGTGGGATTTAACAAATTAAAGCATTTTCTATTGAGCCACCTGTTCGGTATTTTAAAAACTGTTCTGAATGTTTTATTCTCGCAATTTACCTATTGGACCTAGGTTTCTGGTGGAGAAATAGGTTTAAGAGGAATGCCTGAAGTGGAAGAACCTTGTTAGTGAAAAGGTATCTTAACATTTTAATGCCACTTAAGCATATTTTTGGATTCCGTTCTACCTGTGTGCTTGGGCACTTACGTTTCCAAGTGGATGATATATTGACGTATTTTAGAAAGCCAAATGTATTTTTCTGTTTATCCAACCAATGTCCTACTGCATAACTCTGCTGGAGTCCAGGAGTGAGGCATTTAACATCTGGACCACATGGGAACACATTTGAAGCTTACTGTTCCAGATTGTTCTTTTGTCAGCTGTTTGTGGCAACTTGTGTTAAAATGCAACCTCTTGGCACTTGCTCACTTAGCAATTCAGTAAATCCCAACTACTTCCTCAGCTTTATCAGCCACACTGGCTTCTATCATGGGCCTATACTCAAACAGAATGTAGGCAGCAAAGACAGGGGCGTTTTGGCCACTAAATTACTGCCAGCTATAGGACAGAACACAGAAGTGCTCAAACACTGAATGCAAATTCGCAGATATGAAGCATACCAACCAAATCTTTACTCATTCAGGGCTTTCAAGTCTTACTACTTAAGAGCTTCCTGCCGGCATATATGATGACTGAACTTTTTTCCCCGACAGATCGACCATGTTGATCTAACTTCTCTAAGCCAGTTTCTGTCTGATATGCCAGCTTGAGCAGCTCTTCTGTCCCAGCTTCCCTGGGCATCTAGCTGACGGGAGCTCATTTTTCTGTTTTTTCATCTCAGGTTTGCTGTTGGCCAAAACCAGGCTTTGATTGGACCAGGATGAATCTGGTTGTGGGAAATAGAATATATATGTAACTGGTAAGTGGTGCCGACACATCTTGCTTGGCTGACTAGGCATAGGCTCTGTGGAGGGGGGTTTTCAGTGTGGGTTTGTCACCCTACTTGTATGACTCATGTGGCCTTTGCAGCTGATGACACAGCTTTTTTTCCCCGTCAGATCGACCCTGTTGATCTCTACACTATTGGCCAGTTTTGTCTGATGCATTGGCCCCAGTAATAACTCCTATCTTTATCAGAGACTGTTGCTTCTTGTTCATTAGAATTGGGCTTACTCTATTTTTTTCTACCATTCAGGTAGCTTATTTTGACCTGTTATGTTCCTATAGGTTGAGCCACGTGTGCCAGTGTGTTGTCAGCTTGATCTTTGCTTGATTCGTTCTACCTTGTAACAGGTAAGGTTTCTGTTTTCTAGCTGTCAACCCCAGCCAAATTTGTTCGGTTGGGCCTAACTTCAGGACCCGTTTCCAAGTTGGATAAGCTGGGAGAATAAGTCATTGGCCTGTTGGTACCAACAGTTCTTTGTTGGAAATAAGAGCTTGGAGTAGCAAAGAAAAGCACTGCAACAAAAGATTTCTCAGCAAGGCAATTTGTTTCTGCCAGAGGGTCTTGCTCACACTCCTGGCCACAAGAGTATGCCGAACAAAGGAGGGAAGGGGTTTTAAACAGCAGAGGTGTAGGCTACAGCTGCAGAAAGGGCAGTTTCTGCAGGAAAGTTGCAAGTGTTTACAGAGAGGGTTGCTAGGAGTGAGGGGGACTTTTCCAAATAAGAAACAGATGCAGGTTGTAGGTTGGGATTGGTGGGAGAAGTTTCACCGTTTTTGCCAGGATGGTCTTGATCTGACCTCAGGTGATCCACCCACATCAGCCTTCCAAAGTGCTAGGACTACAGGCGTGAGCCACTGTGCCTGGCCCCATCTTATTTCTTTACAGGTAATATCGGGGTGTTACAGGAGGACATAGAGCATTCAGGGAGTCTATCCTGAATGAGACCTTCAACTACAGGCTTTAAACCTATTCTGCCCTCTAGGGAATGGGATTGGTTTTTTCTTACCATTTCCCCTGGGTTCCTTAATTGTGTATGGATTGGAGTGACTTGAAGTCTTCCTCAATTTCTTTTTTTCCTACCCATACATTGGGATGAATTTTCTTCTGCAGTGGTAAGTAGATTTAATGAAGTGAGGAATCTCTTTGGGCCAACATGTAAGACAGCTGCTAACCTCCCTATTCTTCTGCTAAGGCCATAAGTGAGTGGCCTTCTCTCTTTCCCAATCAGAGCATTCTCTTTTGAAGTGACCCACTCTTTTGCATGTGAAACATTTGTTTTCCCCTCTTTGTCCTGCACTGTGACCTCCAGGTTTCATTTGCCTATTCTTATGGTTTAGTTGCTGGTGGCCTAGAGGATTTTTAAGTTTTATTTCCTTGTGTCCTCTATTGCAGAGTTCCCTGTTGTAAGGTGGACAGCATAATTTTTGCCCTTTGTTTCTGCTTCTCTTTGTCCCTTCTTATGCTTTATGAATGGCTAAGTTTGTCTATGGGACCGTCTTTCCAATTTTCTATCTTAGGTAGTTTTTTTAGAGATGTCTGGCCAACTATTAGGAACAGAATGAAGCTTTAGCATCCCTTGCCCCAGTGGGTCGTGCATCTCTAAACATGCTTATTTTCTCATATGTTCTTTAAGCTTACTTAGGAATTCCATGGGTCCTTCTTCCTTCCTTATAGTTGTTGAATGCTTGGGAAATATTCTGGGTACCGACTCAAGAATTCCCCTATCATATCCCTTAGGTCTTACATTTTCTAGGTGAGCTGCATTGTTACTGTCTCATTGGAGATCTTTGGCCAGGACTTTTTGTTCTGCAGCAGGAGTATTTTGACTGGGAGGCTATTCCCAGACTACCATAGCAGCCCTATGGAACATGGTGGTTCTCCCAAGAAGACAATGCCTAAAATGGACATAAGCTTGGCCGAAATATACAAGTGGATCCTAAAAATTGATCAGTTTGATCTGCTGCCCTATAAGGGTCATCTCATAAGGGCTTGAGTTCTTTTTTTAGATTTTGGACTTGGTTAAGGGGACATTTATGAAGCTGATACCTCTTCCCTGAAGCCAGTGCCTCCTTCCCCAAGTGGTACTTCCCTTGAGGGGAAGAGAATTGGGGCTGATTCCTTGGAGGTGGAGGGGAAAGGGAAGTTCAGAATATCCTTCTTACATTGTTCCTTTGTATTTCATGCTCAAGTTTCCGAGGGAGGCACATGCTTGAATATGTGGCTAAGGGAATGTGGTGCATTGATTCGGGATTAGATGGTGTAGGGACTGAGTAGGGGCGTCCTGTATGCCTGCTTGAGGCAGGGGATTTGATGGAGCCAGGTGATCTACTGGGCCCATGTTAGCAGGCTGTTTGGGGGTAGAGACCTTATTCCTTTCAGAGGAGTTGGCTTCTAGAGATTTCTTTACTTTTCCTATCTCTACATGCTCAAACTACACCCCCCCACCACCACTGGAGGTTTCTTGCACTCTTCTTTTGCTTTATCCTTCTGACTGCTTCCCTGGAGGGAATATTTCAGGTCCCTCTTAGCGTTGGTGTGTTGGTATAAGCCCCAAGACAGGAATCCACCATAAGCTGTATGAGGTGACCACTGAACTGCAGATCCAGACTCAACACTCGCTTTGAACTCAATTGTGCATCTCATTCACACACTTTCAACCTCCAGAATGTCCTGACCTCCAAGAAAATACTTTGTTGCCTCCATGACTTTTCTTACTTTAGTCTGTGGAGAGTTACCTGGTCCCTGTGCTATGTGAGGATCATTTCTGCCTGTGTTGTTGAGGGTGGGACCCAGTCTGTTTGTGAGGCCACCACAACAAGGTGGTGGGATGCCTCTCAAGAGAGGTGGTCACTGGCCCCTCCTGACGGAGAATGGGAATCCTGGATGGGCCCCCAATTTGTTGGAAATAAGAGCTCGGAGTTGGAAGGAAAATGAGGCAAATTTACTTCTGCCAAAGGTTGCTGCTCACACTGAACAAAGGAGAGAAGGGGTTTTTATCCCTAATGCAGCTAGTCCCTGCTTCTGTGTCCTATCCCCATTGGCTGGAGCACACAATCTGAGTAGTCCTGATTGGATAAGGAACAGATGTGGTTTACAGGTTAGGATTGGCAGGAGAGGTTGTTTACAGAATGGGTAACTAGGAGCAGGAAGGTATGAGGGTTAACCTTGAGAACAAAGAATAAGGAAGTTAAAATTTGAAGAGAAACCCATTATCTAACAGTCTTGTAAAAGACGACAAAGTGACTGAACATTGGATGGAGCTAATTTTCCTTGGCAAATGCACTTAAGTAAGATTAAGTTGGGATTCAATTGATCGAACTTGTGTACTTGTATAAGATTCGTCATAACTACTGCCATGAGCCACCCTCAGCTCCTGGTTACAGGAGAGACAGACACAGCTGACAGGTGTTGGAAGTCTACACCTTTAAGTCCTTTAAGAGAAAGTAGCACCACTCCTTTTCTGTGTCTCTTGGGGACACTTACCTCTATGTCTGGTCACATGGCTGGAATTTACAGCAGATAAGCATACTGTGGTCTGCATCACCATGATTGTATGTTGTTTCTGCTGACCTTTACAATAAGCTGTGCTAATACAAAAGCTATTTTACCAAATCCCTGTGTTGCATCATCCTCCAATTTGCCTAGTGTCCTAGGAAGGGGAATAAGCAGATTAATAGGTGTGGCTCCTGATAATTCAACTTTTATATAAAACTAAAACCTCAAAACCCACAGAAATTGTAGTTCATGTTGGTCAGTGATGACTCATCTTAGAATTTTTTTTTTTTTATAATTTTTTCTTCTGCCCTCCCCTCAGAAGTATTTTGTTTATGGATGTGTGAATGTGCATAGTTTAAAGTCCAACATTCATATATTGGACTTCTTGCATATAACAATGATTCTTATGAAGTCATTTTGAGATAAAGGTTAAAACATTTTGACAGCACGACATGGGCTTCAGTAAAGTACAGACTTAAAGTTGTCTTAACATTGGAAGTTTCCCAGTTCCTTTGATCAATATTTTGTTGTATACCAAAGTGGATGGACTTGGAGTGACCAGGTCTTAGGCATATGCATGTTTTCATGCCCTAAACAAGAAGCACCATAATCTGGAATGGAGCACTGATGGCGATCCACCTTCTTTTTTAGAAACTGGTGGTGGAATATGAGAGGAGGCCTCTGGAAAGAAAAGGACAGACCTGTGCTTCCATGAAAGTGAAGATCTGGCTGAACCAGTTCGACAAGGTTGTTGTGGACATAGCTGTGCCAACTTGGAAGAATCAGTCATTGTTAGATCTTGGGGAAATTTCTTGCCTGGACAAAGAAAATAAAATCTTTCAAATCAAAATGCTATTGTGTTTGCTCATTGGAGATAACCATTGAACATGGATAACAAGTAGCAGTTAGGTATTTGCAGTTTCATTTGGTTTTAGGTTTTTGAGGGGAGGATCACTGTAGTGGGCAGTTGGTTTCTGCAGGCAAAGCATGGCATTCCACAGGCAATCACAGTGCCTCGTGATTGGCTTCTGCGTTGGAAACCTAAGAATAAGCAAGCACGCTTGGGCAGAAGTTCAAATCCAGGTGCAGAGAAGCAGAGGGTATGCTTACACCTGCTCAAGGTTGTATGTGTTATCATGGGTATTAGACCAGTGGTTGCATGAGGTGAATAAGGGTGATTTGGGGTATGCTATTTGTGTTTATAAACTTCGTAAGAAATTGCAAAAACAGACTGCATCATTTATCAATGTGATGAATATTTTGGTTTTATTTAATACACACTGAATAGTTTTTTAAATACCTTGAAATACCACCTCAAAGATGGGACTCTCAATTTCTAAAATGGCTCCTGGTATTGGCTTAGAATCCCCTCCCCTTAATTAGTCTGGACCTAGTGCAACTTCTCAGACTTGCTACCCCATTTTCTCATTCTCCTTGGCTTGCTCCCTTTTAATTAAGCGGCCATGTTGGGAGAGGCCAATGTAGCAAGCAACTGAGGGTGAGCCATTAGTGTGGGAGGAGTGAGCAACCATGTGAGTTTGTAAACATGTTTTTCCAAAGCAGAGGTGTGATGACAACCACCCCAGAAAACCACTTGCAGATACTTGTGAGAAACAGCAGGACCCACCCAGACTCTGCCTGGATTCCTGACCTATGGGAAATGTATTTC